CCTACATCAGGCTACCTTCAGAAACAAAAGATTAGGATTTAGTCTTGTCCTTTATACAATAGCATTTAGTTCCTTCCCTTATCCTGGGGTCAAAGGAGAAAGTTCTTGTTCGAGTACTGGTTATGTGAAACCATATGCTGCTGAAATCTTATATCCCTGACTTATGTATAAAGTCATAGATAGCCTGCAACAGGAGTTGTGGGTCTTAATTTAGGAAGTAACAGGCTTCAGACATAATGCAGCTCTTTGAAATTTCAGTTGAAAATTGTAAACAGAAGAAACAGAATACACAAAAATGCAATGCAAAAAGTAACAAAACACAGGAACGAATGAGTCTCACTTCTACATGCTTTTTCTTTATCCTTCCTTGTTCTTTATTATATGGAGTAAAAGTGAAAACCAAAGGCTGGAAAGACATTTTAAAGGCTTTCTTGCAGATGCCAATACAATTAGAGAGAATATATTAGTAAATTCTAGATCAGCTAAACATTATCACTTTCTTCTGCATGCTTCATCACAGACAGTACACACATGAGATTCATACCATAAGTTTACAGACTCTTCTCTGATCTAGAGATTTTAGCCTAGTCTCTACTGTTTCCAAATGTAGTTCCCATTGCTTGAAAAACATACTATAAAAGAAAACCACCACCACCAAAGCATAGTCCTTATAGACTGAACTGTACCTAAATACAAACCAGACATGATTCCTAAATTATAACTCAAGCATTTAGAAAACATTGTATATTATAACAGGTCCAAACCAAAAGGAGTGATCACCATGTAAGTAAACCATACTGATTTCCAGCTAAAACAAATTAATTCCTAGGCAACTGGAAATCACACCAAAGGTAACATAGGCTCGTAACATGAATTTTCTAAGAACTTAGTCAAGATACAACACCAATATGGCAGTGATATACTAGGAAAACTTCTTATGCCTATAATAGCTGAACTTCACACTGGAAAAAAACCCAATAGTTTAATTTATTAAACAATAGAATTAGTAGTAGAACTCACCATAAGACAAGGTTAGTTGTTCTGAACTCCCTCAAACAAACACTACCTTTGCCTTCAGGGAATGAGCTATAAAGCTCCCCAACTTCAATAAACCCAGTAACCACTTTGCTGCCAACTAACTCAAGGAGCATACTATGTACCAAAGTGCTAGTTTTCAAGATTGCCAACACCTGATTCAAATCACAGGTGCAGCCACTGGCTCATTGCAGCACTTCTGGGCAAGACGTGCCCTGTACATGTCTTGTACAGAACAAGAACCAGTACAGAAGTGTGATAGTTTCTCATGGCTGAACCAAAGATACAGGTAGTCTCCCACAACATAGCCTCTGAGGAATAGTGAATTCACCTTCTACAGTAATATGTATATGTAGACTTATGTATATGTTACTTTTATATTTCCATTACTGTTTATAGAAATTGCTTGTGCATACATGTTTATTGTGGTAGTTTTTTCTAGTCAAGTCTGGCCCTTATTTTCAACTCATGAGTCATAACACTTTCATGAAAGAAAATGGCACTACCTGTCTGTCAATAGAAACTGATGTCATTTTGTACATTAACACACTGTGATACAAGACCCCTCAAACCATGAAGCCCTTCATATTACCTAATATATCACTGCCTGCATGCGTGTACACATGATCAGCAGATCATACAAGGCAACTCTATTAGCTCCCTAAATACTGTCTCCTGTGGTCAAGAGAAATACCATTTTCCAATCTGCAAGATCAGGTACACTTTTTTTGTATTTGCCATCTCCCATTACTGGTAGGTAGATGAATTGAATCAATAGTCCAGGCTGAAAATCATTGCCTGTATTACTCGAAAGTTACAGAAAAAGAAGAAAATTTTCCTCTTTATACCTGTAGAGAAAAAAAGGCTTTCAAGGTACACAGGTGATCTTAGAGGCCTAAAAGTTTGAAAACATCCCTTACCATAGTTTGCTTCCAAACTTAACAATCCACTTCATTACTCTTCCCTGTAGGGCAACATCTGATTATTTGATAGACTACAGATCTACTCTTCCAAAAGACACACCTTCCACTTCAAAATCTAACAGAGGTTCCTGCCTGTTCCTTATTTCACATGCTGAAATGAGACACTGCAGGCAGCCTGTGAGGTATCTAAAACACCCCAGTCTGAATACCCCATTCCCTGCTATACCAAAAGGAGATCTCACAGTCCACAGAAGGACTAAGTATGTATGCTAAATATGGCTTGCAAGAAAGCAGAATTTAGAGCTCAGACCCTATAAACTGAAATTCAAAGGGATCTTCTTTCAAATAAATGGGACAGACTGCATGTTTATGGCTTAAATGATGTGCTGTTAGGTTTTTGTCCTCCACAAAATTCCAATTTCCTCTCAGGCATTGGTTAAATTCCTGTCTCTAAGACAGAAGTCTACATAGTTAGTACTGAACTATCATTGTACAAATCTTTATGCAGTGCTGGAGACATTTTCTTATTCCAAGCCACAGCATGATCTGTAAACACACTGCAAAGTAGAAGCTGCTGCCCAGCGTATATAGGGAACAAATACGTAGCCTTTCCTACCTCAAAGTAAGCTGCTGGGAAAGGCAATTATTCCCTGCTTGTCTGTGATTGATCAGCTTCTTGTATATGGATGTGTCAGCTTTCATTTATTACCTACTTGGTCACTGGCACAGGGCTGCAAAGAAAAAGGTCTTTCTAATAGGATTTTTTCTGGGAAAGGAATTAAAATAGCATTGAGACAATTTAAATCACAAACAATGACACTTTCCAATCCTCCTCTCTACGTAAGACAACACCCATACAGCTAAAAGTTTCCGGGGAATCATTTGGAATGCGGAAAGTGGATTTCAACTCCTCTATGTTGTCTACTTCCTTTTAAATAATATGCACAGAGGGCAGAAGTCTGGGCAATCAAGGCATAGTAAGGCTTTAAGTAACATGATTTTAACATTCATAAGGTTTTAACTTCTTAGTGATTATTTATGAAATCTTCTATTACATCAGGATAACAGGTTTAAAAGAAAGTAAAATAATCTGAAACTTACCATTTTTACACCAGTAAAAACATTTTAGAGCTATATTCAGAACCCACCCTCATAGCTAGGTTAAAATGATCTCTCAATCCCTACAAAGTATCAAATAATAATTAAATCCAGAGTTCATGGAGGACAATTGTTAAAGGAATAAACTTGTTGCAAAAATAACAATCATATACTAAAGCTTCAGCCTGAAGCACATTCTTCATCACAATACATTGCATAGGCCCCCACTAAGTCCAAAAGACAATAGGGTTTTTCTCATATCAAATTATCAAAACCTCTCACCTATTCCATTGGCTTAAAGACTGCTATACAGGATTTATACTAGGTTATCTCATATGTGAAGAGGTTCACAACAGGAGAGAAGAAAAGGGGTCACTCTGATATTCTTTCATTCTCCACAACATGTCCAAGACGGCCTGTGGCCAGTTCTTCTTTACTGGAAAGGAATTTTGCCTTGGTCACACTTTGATGTACAAAGGAGGGATATTCCCCAAGAAAAGGAATGAGACAAACTAATTAAGCTATATTGTACAAGTAACTGTAGATCAGCATCTGCTGAAGGTCTCTCTCAACTGGTTCTTCTCATAAAGAACCTCCCATTAATTTAACTCATTTAAAATATAAACATATTAGAAAATCAGTGCTATGGAAAAACCATTATAAAACATTTTCTTAGTTGGATAAATTATCTTCCATATGATTCTGAACCACTCAGCATCTCATACTTGAGCTTAGGAAGACAAGAGGTTATAACGGTTGCAAGATACTGTCAAGTGCTTATGTGCACCACTGTCCTCTGCTGGAAGAAATCAGTCTTACTTGTATCTTTGTGACTGATTAGCTTCTATTAGCAGTAGCTAACATAAAGCAACGATGGCATAAGCAACATTTAATATACATTCCCCTTTAAGCTCCACAGGCCTGTGGCTTAGGACATAAGGTTGATAATTCTACTGTCTGTGCAATGTAGCTGTGTAAACAGCATTTAAGATGTTTGCATCTGCCCCGGACAGTGTTCTTTATTACCATATATTTGTACAGCACTGACACCCCAAGGCCCTGCAGAGACTGGACCTTGCTGCTCTACATACATGGAGTTAAGATCCAAGATTTCAACTGCATGGCACCGTATCATCTAACACGCAAGATTTGCAAAATGCCATCTATAAAATAGCAGCTGGTTTTGTAACAGCCTGAACCCCAAGGACAAATATATGCAACCCCTCTGAGGACCTGAGCCTAGACATTTTAAACAACAGCTAAAGAAAGACACAAACACAATCACTGTCTCTCACTCCAGCATTTCTAGGACAAGCGTTGATTTTCTCAGGATAGGCAGAGGACCTGTAGACCCAAGCATCAAAGCCTTTTGAGACCCCCTCAAATTGTAGTGCAGCCGCTTCCCGCACCAACGCTACCACATTTTTGGGTGCCTGGGGAAACACCTCTCCGGGAAAAGGTAAGCAGGAGAGCTGTGTGTGAGGAGGACTTGCACCTGCCTGGTAACAGGGCACCATTACATTGAGCCACGAAGGCAGGGGAGGCCTTTCCACCGCAAAGGTGAGGAACAAAAGCCCCACGTTCACCGCAAGCTGAGCAGACCCAATCTTCACCCAGCCCCCAGTGAAGACGGGGAGGTATGTGCCCGCAGCTGACTCCTCACCTCTGCCCTGAGGAGCAGCAGAACCTTTCACGGACGCTTCCCCTCACCAGAGCCCGCCCCCGCCACAACTCCCGCCCGCCGCGGCCGCCCTCCTCAGGTGGCGTGCGGGGGCACACCCGAAGTGCCGGGCGGTGCGGAAAGGGCAGAGCCAAGGAGAGAGGCCTGGCGGGAGTTGTAGTCCGTCCGCCCCACCCACCCGCCGCTCCGCGCAGCCATCCCGCGCGCCGGACTACATTTCCCAGGGGGCGCCGCGGAAGCCTCTCAGCAGCGAGCAAGGCGAAATGGCGGCGGCGGCGCGGGGATTCGGTGGGGTTTGGTGCTGGGTGTGGCAGCGCGGCGGCGGCTGGTGTCCCGCCCCCGCCCCCCGCAGGCAGCGGGCCGTCTCCTGTAACGCGAGAGGCGGGGCGGTGCTGGCGGGGAAGAGCGGGTACGGTGCCGGGACGGCGCGAGTAGAGTGGCCGGTGGAGGTGGTTCTCCGCCGGGGCATCCAGCCCTCAGGGCGTAGCCGCAGGGGGGGGGCTGGGCCCGGTCTCGGGCACGAGGGCAACGGCTGCGGGAGCTGGGCGGCAGCGGCGTGGTGAGAGCAGCAGGGCCCGCTCTGAATGTCATCTTCTGAGCGGTGTGAGGTTGCTGATGGTTGGCAGCACCTTCTCAGCACGCGTTTATCTCGCACCCCTCCCCCAGGCCCCCAAAACAGTATTTGTATTAGCAGTAGGGCTGTGTCCGTTTGACAAGTTTGGCTGTGGTAAGAGCCAGACACAACGCAAGCAAGTTACAAAGAGTTAGCATTCACGTGTTCGCAGTATAAACAGCAAGGGCTGCACCGATTTTCATAAGTAGTTTTTGAAGGCTTATTCTGGTCCAGAGGAAGCTTTTTTTCCCAGTGGAGAATTGTGAGACTTTGACAGTGTGCCTGGAACGGAGCATTTTATTCCTGCCGCAACTGAAAGTTATGGCCTGTACAAGGCTTTATGTTTTCTGGTGAGATGCTGGTTTCTCTGTACAGCTGATCACCCAAGTGAAGTTGTGCAGACACCGGCAGAAGTATGCTGCTGATTCTTCAGAGACACGAATAAACAAACCTTGAAGAAACATGGTGAGAAACTTAAGGTTTCTCATGGCTGTTGTTAGTAGGACTGGAGGACTGACTGATAACATGTATCTTTTTGCCTGAGTGTAAGCCAACACACTGATTAAGAGAAGCCTGATGTAATTTTTAATGGCATGATGTGATGGGGATGCATTTCTGAAGAGTGCAGGAAACGCTGAAATAAATTTGTCTCCAAAATTAAAAAAACAACCAAGCAAAAACCACCAACTTTTTTTCCTAAACCCGGAGGTATTTTATGAGTAGCTGAAAATACCAAAGAAAATACATTTCAGTAAAAGAAAATGTATTAGCTCCTTTAAACATCTGAACCTTAATCATTTATGATAATATTCTTAAATCAGCGATACAAGTGGCATCTGCATCACTATTTTGGTGTCTGTAGGGATGCCCTCAGCTGTTGGAGGGCAGAGAGAGAACTATAATCTTGGCAGTGTATTATGTTCAACTTTGGACAGAGCACTGTGCTTGATATAGTTGTTTGATGTTTTTCAATAGCTCGCTTATCTCCTATAGCTATCAGGGTGCTTACACTGCTGAAGTATTCTGCCGTAGAAATGTGATTTCATCACTGAAGTATTATTTGTGCCACTTCATTTGTACAAGGCCAGATAATTACTTACAGAAACTGTCAACCAATTCATACTGTAAAGGTGACCTTTTTCTCTTGTCCATATAAAGGTTATGGATGTGAGAATTGCAATTACTTTTTAGATGATATGGAGAAGCTTTATTCTGTGGATTATGTTCAGAGAGCAGTAGCTCTCTAGATGAAATTATGATTTCTCTATTACCAGATTACTAATGTTTATGCTAATATGCTACTAACACTGCTCTGGAGAGCCACCTTTCCCAGCATGCAAGTGACTAGCTGACAAAGAATACATAATTTATTATGCCACCTGTCTGTTGGAGATTTATCAAACTACCTGAAAAGTAATTGATATTTATGATGATTTTGTGATTTTCGTGAGGTACCAAATTAGGGTTCATCCAGCATGCATCTTTGCCTCATTAATTTTTCTAAGATTTCTCATGTGAAGAAAAAAGTTTCAGACCATTACATTTCTTTTTTATGGCAGTCTTTTCTATGTATAATGAAGACACTTTGCCATACAGTCCCCTCCATATATATTGTCAGTTAGTCTCAGTTCTCCAGTATTGCAGCACAACTTTTGCCATTATACTGTAGATGTATTTACAACATCATTTACATTTTTTTTATAATTACAATTTAATTTTTCTTAGAATAAATGAAAAGTTCTTAATTCTTGTATTTTTAGATGTTTATAGAGTTTACTGTCATATATATTTAAATTGTATTTCCCTTCTCCTCTTTCCTTTTCAGTCTTGCTCCCTGGGTACCAGTTGTGGGTCTGGAAATTCATGCACAGATCAGTTCCAACTCAAAACTTTTCTCTGGTTCACAAGTCCAGTTTGCAGCACCTCCTAACTCTTTGGTATCTTTCTTTGATGCTTCTTTACCAGGAACTTTACCAGTAAGTTATGCTTCAACTTGATTTATATCAAGATTAATGTCAGACAACTTTGAGTATGTTTCTAATATTTTGTTCTTCCCAAGATTTGACTACAGAACTACTTCTACATATTTTTCTATTTTCTGGTTGTTTGATAACATGAGATGCCTAGTACTGTTTCTTTTCAGTTTACTCACTCCCTACTTATCACTACTGATAGTCGATATCCTCTGCGAAGGAAGAAAATAAGGAGTGTCTCTTCAACATACTGAATGAATTGCGGTATTTCTCTGAGGCCAGAGAGGGTGTATTTGGTTAGTATGCCACACAGGAAATTCCTTAAATATGAGAGATACTTAAAATCCTATGAGAGAAGAACATCTTAGATTTCCGACTGGCCATTTGATGTTACTTTGCCATATGTTTGTTTATGTAGCTGCCATTTGTCATTTGGAGTGTCTCACTATGGAGGTACTTTGCTTCCTAAGTAGCAAGTCTCTGATTTAGGAAAGTGTCAACCATTCCTACTTCCAGAGCAAAACAATTATTTAAAAAAAAAAGTAATCAGTGTGAGACATTGTGGACTAATAAGAATAGCTAGCTAGCACTTAGCAATGAGATTTTGTTAGTGACATATAAATTTTTTTGAAGTCACAGCTTAATTATACCTTTGTGATGGCTATGACAGTACTACTGTAGAATTCTCTGGGAATCTAACAAGTTTAGTATAAAAATAATAATTTAAAAAGTGTAACAGAAGCTCTTACTATGCAGTGAAAATATTGAATAGACTTAGCATTGCTTCATGCAGCAAGCATGCAGGGACTATTATGGGGTCAAATTATTTAATGCAAAAGTATTTCACTGAGTATATTTATTAAGGTGGAGGTTTGAATTCCAGTTGCAGATATATTTTTTTAATCTATTGGAAGCTTTTCATCACCATAATACAGCCTTAAATAATATTCTGAAATTGAGAATTAACTTATGGCTGCATTTCTAGGGTCTCAATATATGCTGTGTGATCCTTAAAAAGATACATGAGTTGATATATTCATTCTGTATTTGCAAAGGTATTGAAACCTAAGGAAGTGAAGTTTAGATGCTGATAAAATTTGGAATTCACTCTGCTCTCAGTGGCAATTCAGGGCTGAGTTTCAGATCTAACTATATGGAAATTTTGAAAACTTTCCAGAGAGAATGGGAATCTTATGCAATTGTTTGGTTTTAGAAGAATCTAGTTAGACTTAAACATGGAAAATTAGTTCCTTTCATTTAGGGGCAGGGCTAGGTTATGGAGTTAATAGTAACAAAATTTAAAAGGGTTCAAGATTTTGGTTTTAGACCTTTTACTTAACATTCTGTTAATGCACAGAAATCCTCATAAACCATCTAATGCTTATCTTCAGTCAAGTAGAAAAACTGTTTTTGAATGAACAAAAATGAGTATTTACGAAGAGTTTCATTTTTATATATGTTACTATTTATCTGGGAGGGTTTTTTTTTTTATTTTTCCTCTGTTGAAGTGCTTTACAAACGAGGCTTGGTATGACTTTTGTGAGAAAACCCCAGTACATGTGGGCTTTGGCAGAGAATATAACCGCACCTGAGAAGCAAAAAGCAGGATGGTTAAGTTAATTTAAAAGTAGTGATGCTGTGTTAGCTTCTACCAGCTGTATTTATCTATACAAAGAGAAGAAACATTTTTCTCACTGGAGTAACTGGTGAAAATAGAGTTGAAAGTGAATGTTACAAAATACATGTTCTTGCATGTTAGACTATGATACAAAATCCAGTCAGTAGTCGTAGCTTTATTTTCCCATTGTACTTGCTGCGCAGGAATTGGTGTCAGAGGCCAATGTTTGTTCTGGGATCAAACAGTTGGGCTTATTTTCTTGAAGTAACTATATGTGTTTGTATACGGCAATAGTATCTAAAGTAGAACTGGATTTTGGTGGATTTTGAAAGACGGAAGGTAGTTTTTGAAAATTTCCAAGTATTTGTAAAAAAAAAAAAACAAACCACAACATTTTGTCAAATGTTAAGATTGTAACCTAATAAGATTCTTTAGAAGGTAAATATTTGGCCTTTCCTTTTGACTCTGTTTTTTTGAGAAGTGAAAAAAATAGGAGCAAAGTTTTAATACATTAGTTGGGCTGTCTGTAGCAGAGAATAACTGCTCTTATAAACTGAGAACTATAGGGGTAGTTTTCAGTATCCCAGGGATTTAAATTTACTGTGGGACCATGAGATGGTTATGATAGACAACCATGCTAGTATTTGCTGCTTCACAACGGGACCAGAAAGAATGGTGCTAAAGGGAGCTTTTCTAGTTGCTATACATTTCTGGGTCACTAATGAGTGTGAGCATGAGCCTTTGCTATGGTCTGCACAGGAGAGGGGAAACTAGAAGAATGTGTTTAGCCCTCCTCCATGTCTCCTCTTTATACTTTCTTCCTGTACTGTAATACAGCTTATTTTATGCTTCTGCTGCAAGAAGGCCTTAGGAGGACTATCACAGTGTTAGTGTCATGGCCATTTCACTATGTTGCTCTTAATGTGCCTCTGAGAGACAGCTATGGGCAAGAATAGCTATGCAGGTGCACTCTTGTTTGGCATGAGAAAAAATAATGTGGCAAAGCTTTGATTAGAAAAGTAGATTTAGAAGCAGTGAGACTGGACGGCACATCCCATGCTACTCTGCACACTTTTTGTGCCCTGTGGTGGTGGAGCCCTTCACCAGTAGACCAGATAGCATCTTATACAAATTACTGTAAGGATCTCCTTTCTTTGGGACTACATATGACTACATTACATTTCATATAATGAAATGTGCAAAGGCCTGGGGGTTTTTTATCTGGGGAATGGACTTTGCAGTGATCTTAGCTTGGTGTCTTTAGAGGACCTGTTACAAAGAAAGTTTTATGCTACATGTGGTGGCATATAGTGCATCATACCTGCAGATTGATCTAGAATTCTTCTGAGGATCCATAAAGGTGGTTGCACTCCCAGTCTGATTTATCCTCTTTGAAAATTCTGAGAACCTTTATAAAGGTTTATAAAGATAAGACTGGGCTCACAAAGAGAATCCATGATTATCTATTCTCATGATGGAGGTGGCTGACTAAAGGTTAATTATAGCTCAGGTACAGAAATAAGATGGTAGATGTAGTAGCTAAAGGCTGAAAGCTTTTTGTCTGTGCTTACAGTCTTTCTTGCTAATCACATGAAAAGATGCACATTTTACATTTGTCTCCTACATGACTAAAGTGAAAGCCTGATCCTATTTCTTTGTAGGCAAGTGTACTAAGAAATAATCTAGGATTTACATAACCAAGGTTTAAACTAATAAGATTTGAATGAATGTTAGCCCTGGAGTCTTAAGTATTTTGAAATTTTTGACACCTTCTCATGCATTTGCATTTCATTCTCTTCACAGGGTGAACAGCATCTGTTTTATCTTTTTTTTAAGATAGAGTTTTTGGAAACGCTTGGTAATGATCAAGCACTCTTTCTAATGAGGAAAGGTAAATACCTTCTGACCTCAAGAAACAGAGTAAGATTGGTGTTGAACACTGCTGTAGAATGTCATGAGATGCATGATTTTATCTGAATATACATTTTTTTTCCTGTTCCACTGGACATCCTCGAGGGCTTGACAACTCACTCATTGCTATCCTGTACTGAGATTTTCATATCCTCTTGTTTTAAACTCCTTTAGTGTTCCTGCTGTAAATAGTGTTAGAAGGATGCATTTGGGTCCTATTGTATCTTCTCTTACCCATATAATGACAGTTGGGCAACCAGATACACATTTTCATGGAAGAAGGCAGGGCTAGAACAGTTATTAGCCCTTGATCCTTCTGGTATTGCACCACTGGCAACTTAAACTCCAAACTCTGACTTCTCCAAAGCTCAGGAATGTCACTACAATGCTGCACAGTAACGGAGAGCACGTGTATCATGCTGTTGCCTTCCCCAGCCTGCTGTTGAGATGGCTGCCCAGGGATGCAACAGGGTTAATACTCACTTTGGAGATGTGGAGGGTGCTTTAGTTCCCCTTCGTATATTGACACTGCATCCATCCTTGACAGTGACAGATACCCACTGTTTTTCCAGATGCCTTGGGTGATAGATTATCAGACTTTATGATGAATTTTAGATATTAATATACAAAATTTACCTGATGCTTTCAAAAGTACTGAGAGGTTTGTGTGAGATTTTGGTGGATCTGTCTGCCAGCTATACATATTGGAACAGAAACAGCATTTGAGACCAGGATTTATGCTATACAGCATGAAACTAGGTTTTTTGATATCCTGTGCCTGTTAAATCTGGTGATTGCAACAGCTGCTTTACCAACTTGTGCTTTCAGTTTTGTTTTGACATTCCTGCTGGCATGCATATGAATTTACTCCCTTCTTGTACTACTTTGCTTTGAAAAAAACCTGCTGCTTAGCTTGACTTTTGATAACTACATTTTTAATTGCATGCACCTTTCTTGGGGAACTGGACAATCTTCTGGTCTTTGTATGCATGTTGGTTTAGCTTCCGTTATATAAATTTTCTTCTTTTCTTTGAAACGACGTGATGCCTAGATTGTTGTATCCCTGAGCTCTCCTCTAAAAATAAATTAGTGGCCATACCTGAAGGAAAAAGTGAGTTCATGCTTGTTTTAAACCATTTACTTAGGTCTAGGTTCACTTTAACTGCTTGTTACTTCTTTCAGTAAAACTGTAATAATTGTACTTAGGGGAAAAAAGGAGATATTTTCTTAGAAATTGATGGCATCTTTCTGTTGCAGTCCTTTCTTTCCTGATAATATTTGGGTTTTCTACATGCATTGTATAGTCAGTGGTTAACATTCTTTTGTTGCTCACGCAGTCCCAGCTTGCTGGATTTACAGTCCCAGTAAGCCTCTAAAAAGAAAATCCCACATAATTTAGAAAAAAACTAGGGGAACGAAATAGGCTTTCAAACCATTGCTCCCTGAGAATGTCTTTGCAGTTCATAGACCCTTA